CCCCTCACCAACAGGAGAAACCCATGCAAATCTTGCCTGTAATATAACTTAGAATATTACAACTCAGCAAGGGATTCAATACTCAGTTCTGTGGCTTGAACACAAGCAAAGGTTTCCCAAAATTATTATCCTACCAGAAGTATGACTCTCTTCATCAACACAAGGATATCTGTGTTATCGTCACTCATGTTGTTCATCCACGACACTTTTTTGAATGACCATGATTAGTTACGTATGTAATCATCATCAACTAGTTGGATAGCTTAGTGCAGTGGTTCTTAACCTTTTTGAAAGAAACGCCCCCTTGAGCCATTGAGGAAGTTATCATCGCCCCCCTCTTATTTCTTATTATATCTTATTTGTTTGTTTGTTTGTTTGTTTGTTTAAGACACTTAAATCCAATGACCCCTGAAAACAAAATTCAATTCCAAGAAAATGAAATGCCCCCCAAAAGTAACATCTAATGATTTAGTTGCAAGCGAATTTTAAGACTCAAAAAGAAATATAAAAAGGGCATAAAATGCAGGAACTAAAAATTTCAAGACGAAAACTCTGAAACTAAATTAAGATAGGAGAAAATATATATTCATGCACATTGTAAAAAGGCTGCAGCCATCTGTGACAAACCCAGACCTACTGGGATCTGCCACACGTTAACTAAGCTGCCACCAACCATTCCCTATAAGAAGTCACACAGACCAGGGATGGATTTTTAACAAATAAAAGAATAAGGTTTATTTAAATACAACACACAGGGAAAATAAATTGATCAGGTGAATAAGATAAAGTAACGTGGCTTATTCTCATTCATACATGCATACAGTTTGGTTCGCACAGAACCCTTAACTTGAAGCACAGACCCTGAACCTATCAGTTCTGGCTAACCAACAGACACCTGAACCTATCAGGTTGGTACTCTGACACACAGTAGTACCCTGTCTGACACACAGACTCCCACACCAGCTTCTTCTTCCCAGCTGCTGCTTCGTCTCCTAGCGTCTTCACACACGCTCCACATATATATACAGTACAGCCCCTCCTCCTGATGTCCCGCCTTCCACTCCCCATAGGATGGAACTTTCCCTCCAAACCCATGACAGACAGGTAACATCAGTGCTGTATGTAACACCATCTTCACAGGTTTGGCTTGCTCCAGCGCCCCCTACCGCCCCTTTTCGTTCTACCGCCCCCCTGAAAAATGAAATCGCCCCCTGGGGGGCATTATCACCCAGGTTAAGAACCACTGGCTTAGTGTGTTAGGTATGGTCGGGAGTTCGATTCACACTTGTTCCTCCTGGGGGAACAGCCAGCCTGTGTAGCCTTGGGTAAGCGGCACCTTTCCCACGGGGCCCCAGAAGCAGGGAATAGTAGACCACGGCTCAGCACTCCATACCTAGGGAAGGGTTGCCATAGGGTCTGACTTGACCTGAAACCATCTATCTATCTATCTATCTAGCTATCTATCTATCTAGCTATCTATCTATCTAGCTATCTATCTATCTAGCTATCTATCTATCTAGCTATCTATCTATCTAGCTATCTATCTATCTAGCTATCTATCTATCTAGCTATCTATCTATCTAGCTATCTATCTATCTAGCTATCTATCTATCTAGCTATCTATCTATCTAGCTATCTATCTATCTAGCTATCTATCTATCTAGCTATCTATCTATCTAGCTATCTATCTATCTAGCTATCTATCTATCTAGCTATCTATCTATCTAGCTATCTATCTATCTATCTGTCTGTCTGTCTATACCTACCTACCTACTCAGAAAAAAGCAGTTAACACATCTGTTGGAATAGACTTCAGACCACAAACACATGTACCATAATCATTTTGAGTACCATGAAATCTTTGTTGTTGTTGTTTTTGTTTTTTTTGCAAGAGATAGAAATACACTGAAGAGCATGTTGGGTTAAACTCTTTATAGCAACATGCTCAGAAAAGAGAATACACGTGGTCTGGTATGGAAACCACACCAAACCCTCCACAAAACCAGGTCTGGCGGAGGGTGCTGGCGGGGCCGTGGCGGGTTTTATGGGGGCATCCGAGGTGGCAGGACACTTCCCTCAAAGGCTGCTGTGAATTCCCCCAACGTTAGGCGCTGGGAAATTTATTTGCATCACATGTGTGAGGTGTCACCCCACCGCCTCTTCTCCACCTACCCCCTTTTTCTCTTAGGAGACAGCCCGGTTCCTGTCAGCAGCCTGTATTTTTAATGAAATAAGTCTGTAAGAAAGACAACAGGCAGACTGTTTCCCACGTACAGGGCAAAAACCTGAAGTCAAACCTCTTTGGCTTCCCCAAATTCCCAAGCTGAGACTATTTTAAGGTGAATCCCTCTTCGGACAAGGGACCGGCAGGAGGATGTTGTGCTTCCAATCACCGTGTGATGCTCAGCAAGCATTGCTCCTAGTTCAGGTGGGGAAGCCTTCCAGCCGCCCACTTACCGCCTGGAGCTGAGGACGGGGATGAGGCAGAGAAACCCAGAAACTTTCAGCTCCTTGCGTTCCAAAGCTGTTTCCATTTGATAATCTCTGTGATGTGTGACTGTTTCCTCAGTGCCTTCTTCCCTCCCCATCCCTGTTTTTAATCTGTGCACAGTGACCAGTGCAATGGGCTCACTTTTGAAGTAGCAGCAACAGCAACCATAAAAAGGGAAGGGGGCCATCCTCTGAAATAGTGTTGGTGTTTGCCAGGACAAGATGCATGCTCCACTCTGTCCCAAAGCACATCAGTTCACTGCAGAAAGCTGGTTGGGTGTCCGCCCCTCCCCCTGCACAAACACACACCACCTGTAAAAATCTAGAGGATGGCCAAAACCTGTAGCATCCTTTGCCTCTGGGTTCAAGCACTTGCTCTGCTCCTATAAGGACAGAACGAAAGCCAAATTCCATGCCAGGAGGACAGCATGGACACTCTGTGATCACATTCGGTCACCAAGGAGCTTGGCCGCCTCCTTTCAACGTTCAAAGCTGCTTTGAACTCCTTAAGAGGCAGAGTGGCGAGCCGTAGTGAATGAATGCTCCAAAAGGCAGAAGAGAGCTCCAGGAGGATTCATTCATGGGCTTCTCGGGGAGGCGGCAGTTCTGCGGGATGTCCAAGTCTCTCTCTCTCTGGCCTTGCGCTCCGGAACAGGGATTAATCATTAAAAGTGCCATCCCTCCATCCTTCCAGGAGGCTGTTCAAAGTGCACCGAGATGAACGTCGAAAGCCGTGTTGACCGGGGTTCATCTTCCCTCTTTTCCTCCTTTGCTTCGGGACTGGCTTTCTCCTCCGACCTTTTCCACACCGGCCACTTTCCTGGCTTGACTTGGTTCTGGCTGCCTTCTGCTCTTCTCTCCTTCTCTTTTTCTAACCGGCTTGAATTTTCTGCCTTTCCCCCAAATCCTCTCTCTTGGATTCTTCTCTGTTGACTTATCATCCAGTTTATCTTCTTTCTGCTGTTTTGAAGCTCTTTGGAAGCTTGTTGGTTTTCCCTCCCCTTCCCAATCTTTCGATTATCTCTTTTCCAACCCCTCTTGTCTACCTTCTTTTCTGTTTACTTTTTCTTCCACTCGTCTCACCGAAACTGCCAGACTTTCTCCTGAAACGTATATTTCTTTGTAAAGGGTGGTTTTCCCATTCTTACTCCTTCTCCTCCTTTTTTATTCAGATAGTCCACCCCATCATGCATTCCTGCTTCTCCTTTCACTTCCTGATTTTTCTTTTCATGCCTTTATAAACACTGTCCCCTACTCCCCATCATGTCATCCTCCAACCTTCAGAAGCACCTCCAATTGTCCAACAGGCTCCTTCCCATGATTTTCTCTCTTCACCCCCTTGAATCGTACTCACTCCCACAACAGTATTTTTGTGTAGATAACAAATTGCTTATAGTAGGGTTTACGGTATTTCCGAATGGCTCATGTTGGCCCCAGGCCACAAGCCCCAGAGGGACCCTGCTCATCCAAAAGCTGTTCTGTTAGAATCCCAGGCCTTTGGAACTCCCTGCCAAGGGATGATGCTGATGGGTTGCTTCTGTTTTTCTTCCATTTGGCTGTACTTCACGCTCAAGCCCGGTGCGTTTGAGTGTCGTGGAGATGGAGCTTAAAGGGCCGAAGACCTGGGGCTCTCTGAGCCGCAAGGACGGTGGCCTTCTCTGCCCCTCACTCCCCTGAAACTACTCAGCTCCCCTTTTCCCCCTAGGGAAAGCAGTAGCTGAGAAAAAAAGGTTTTCCTAGGAATAGCATGCACTTGTCCCTGGGAAACAGTTGTGTCAGTTCGACAGTTCTGTAAGCCATCCTTGTTGGAAAGCAAAGTCTAGAAAGGCTCCCTGGTCTTGAATGGGCAATGAAGAGCCAGTGGCTTTATAAAAGAACGACTCCTCAGCCCAAGATCCAGCCGCCTCTCCCCACTGAGACCTATTGGTTTTTACAAGTTTCAACAGGAAGACCACCACAACGCATGGATGGGACTTTCATGAAAAGTATAGAGTAATTTGGTTTTGCAAAACAGCCCCTTTAAGGTAGGGTGGAACAAGAACAGCCTTTTTGAAGACTGATGTCAAAAGATCCTGGCATGGCTTGGCAAGGAGGCCAGCAGAGGAAAAGAGAGCTTTATTTTTCTCTCATGTTTATTATTTATTTATTTATTCATTCATAAAAGGCACTCAAGAACTTGAAGTATCTGGCAAGGGCGTTAAGCTGCGCCTTCTGAGGTAAAGCTGAGTCTGACCAGGGCGTTGGGATTTTTGGTGGGAAAGACTCCTCCTCAGGCGGAGCACGAGGCGCCCTCGACCGGAGAAAAAGGCGGGAAAGTTCCCGCATGCGCTTTGAGGAGAAAGGCGAGCTGGGCCCCCCCGCGCGTGGTTTGGGGCGCCCGCTAGTGGTGGGGGACACGAAAAGAAAATCTGAGGGACACGGGTGCGCATGCGCACCAGGAAGGAAACCCTGTACTACTCATCCCTGAACGCCGACGAGCCCCATTCCTCCCCTCAGAGGTACTTCGGAGCATGCGCAAGGAAAGGCCGTCGGCAGCCCTGCTCGCCGAGGAGGAGGATCGGCGGGCAAAAGAGACCCAACCCAGAGGGAGCGGCGCATGCGCCCCGTGCGGTGGGCGGCCGCTTATGTATATTTGAAAAGGTCTTTATTTTTGTAATAGCTGAGAATTAAACCTGCCAGAGATTTTAAAAGAAAACACAAAGGTCTTTCAAATTTAAGTAGGCTTTCATTTAGGTAGGCTACGCCGGGTGAGGGAGCTCGTCAGCTCCGAGCCGGCTAACCGCCTCTGCTTCGAGTGCGGGCAGCGCGGCGTCACCTACGTCGACATCACCATCGGCAGCTTCGTCTGCACTGCCTGCTCGGGGGCGCTGTGAGTGCCGGGGCGGGGCCGCGGGGGCCACGTGACGCGCGGGCGGAGGGCGGGGCCTGCCCCCTATATATGTACATACATAGGCATCAAGGAGGCGGGGCTAAGAAATGGGAGGAGCGAGATTTCCATATGGAAATTTTGGGGGTGGGGCTAAAGGGACGAGGGGGCGTGGTTTCCTATGGGTCCCCAACCATGGCTTGGTCGCCCAGGTGTTCTTGGACTACAACTCCCAGAATCCCCCACAAGCGCAGCTTGCAGTGAAGGCTTCTGGGAGTTGCAGTCCAAGAACACCTGGGTTCCCCAAGATGGAGAACCACGGCCATATAGGGGAGGCGTCGTAGGTGGAAAGGGTTGGGTCTGGTTCATGGGCCGAGTTGGCCAAGCTGAATTGGGGAAACTGCATTTTAATTTATTTTATTTGCAAGGTGCAGCTCCCATCATCCCCTGGCCACGCTGGCTGAGGGACTCTGGGAGTCCTGTCATCTAGCAAAAGTTAAGTTCTGGGTAGCAGGTGGCAGAGTTCTGTTTTGGGGTATTTCCCGTTACTTTTTCTCTCTCCCTGCGTGTGTGTGTGTGTGTGTAAGTTCTCAATGCCTGAAATCCCATCTTATTACCTGCAAGGTCTCTGTTTAGTTTTATGCTCTTCGGCCCCTTACACTCTTTGGGGTGCCTTTTTGAGGACTGCTATTATGTCCCATCTAGTCAGAAAACACACGCATGCACACACGAATTCCTGTGGCAGAGCCAGGAAATGAAACTCAGTTTCCTGGGTCCTAACCCATTACTCTGCCCACTGCACCACACTGGGTAGCCGCCTCTGAGGTCTACCCCCTCCCAAAGCAGCTTACAAACAAAAGCCAGGAAACAATTGAAAGACAATCTAGCCACATGGTCAAGCATGCAAACCATTTTGCTCAGCCGGTTGTAGGGTCATTTCAGCCCCATTTAAAGAGAGCCTTGGAGGGACATCATCTGAGCAAGCCTAACTGCATAGTTAGAAAGGGCAGGTCAATAGGCAGGGAGTTCCACAGTTTCTGTGCCAACTCTAGGAACGTCCTGTCCGTCATGCTCAGCCAACCGAAACATACTTTTAATGGCATCAGAAAGGAGTCCCTGAGGGCAGTCTTCGCTTACAGGCCAGGCCAGATGGTGGAGGCAGGCCTTCCAATTACTTGGCCCCAAGATATTTAGGACTTTGAAAGGTTTTAAAAACCTCCAGGTCAAATTGAGCTGGAAAAGCTCCCTGGCAGCCACTGCTGGCGGTGCAAACATTTGGGGCAGTTTGTTTTTAGACTTCTGACACCTGTTGTTGTTGCGTGAGGAGGCCCCGGTGGTGCCCACAGTAGCCTTGGAACCATCTTCCCAGGCCGACCACTATCATGTGAGTTCCTCTTGAGTAAAACATCTGAATGTCCCCTGCTGCAACGGCTGCCCATGTTTTCCTTCAAAGAGGGTGCGGGCCCATCAGGGACCAGCTTAACACCACCTTCCTGAGTTGCTGGTTTCAGAGCCCACATAATTTCTGCCCTTCTTGCATGAAGTTTCTGCTTGTGCTCCCTTGGCCAAGCATTTCTCCAGGGGTTTCTGAAGGAGGGAACGGTCATCTCTCTGTTGTTCTGGAAGGCCAGCCGCTTCCCTGTCTTGGGGTGGGGTGGGGGAAATTCTCCCTTGAATTCTTAAGTATCTGTGAGAGGCAGGGCTCTGAACCCCCGGCATATCCCAGGCCTCCGGACAACTTCTTCTGCTGGCTTCACATAGACAGGGAAGGTCAGTCCTGTGACACCCCCACAAAGCAAATCTCACCATGCAGAGCAGAGGTCAATTTGGACGCTGATGATCAGGAGAAAAACAGGAACCAAAACATTGCTGTTTGTCTTTGGCCAAAAGAAAGCCAGCGATTTGGGACTTTGATCGGTAGCGTCAGACGCTGGCAAAAACCCCAGAACAACCAAGAGGGTTGTGTTCCTGCCAGAGGTAACTGGTGCAGTCATTTCCTCGGCATGGCCTCTTCTCTCAGGGAGAAAAAACACTCATATGTGCTTCTGTGTGTGGTTTTTTTTTTTGGGGGGGGAGGTGTTGCCTTTTTGTGATCTCATGTCAGAGTCCGTACAGCTACTCATAGGAGGGCTGTGCTTGTAGGAGCAGTGTAGCAGCTGAAGTGGGGAAGATGAGCTTCTGGCAGCTATTGCTAGAACAAAGAAAGTTAATATTTGCTAGGCACAGATGTAATCGCTGCCGTCTTTGGCCTTTCCTGCTTCAGATGTTAGTCTCTCAGCAGAAAAACCATCCCAAGGACTTGACGAGTGCACCATCAGCCGCGTCTTTCCCCAGCCTGTGGCCGGCCGCAGGTGGGCGTGTGAGAGTCAGAGGGCGGGCAGCACAGCCAGCGGGCCACCGGTTGGAGAGCGGGGCTGTGAGTAGGCCCCGCTGAACAAAAAACCCCAAGGGCTGCAGCTGCCAGAGGCCCCATGGGCTTGTGGTTTATCATGAGATATTGGTTAAGTTCATATCCTGCCTCTCCTGTGGTGAATGCAAGATGGCATACCTGGCCGACTTCTCTTACACCTTATTCTGTCTTCCCAACCACCCTCTGAGATGAAAGAGAGAATGACACCCAATCTCTTGAGTTTTGTAGCTCAGAGTGCAGTTCCATGCGGGGAAAAAAACTATTTGAATTGGGTTTAGTGTGTTTGAAATCCATTAGAAAAAAGGTAACTACACAATGCACATGGAAATGTGGGGGTGTTGTTATTTTTTGCCCAAGAAGTGTATGTTTTGGTTGGAAAGCAAGGTGTGTTACTTGCTTGCGGGAGGGTCATTTATTTTAAATCACTTGTAAAGTTGGGTTTCTTTTCAGTACAGTGGACCCTTGACTTACGGACGGCTTGACTTACAGACTTTTTGAGTTACAGACTTCTCTGGCCACAAACTTTAGGTTTGACTTGCAGCCTGAGAATTGACTTACAGACCAGAAAAAAACCAAAATGGAACAAAAACGGCCTGTTACGGGATTAATCGGTTTTCAATGCACTGTAGGTCAATGGAGACTTGACCTGCAGACTTTTTGACTTGAGAACCGCCTTCCAATACGGATTATGTTCTCAAGTCAAGACCCCACTGTAATTTGGGCAGATGTGAATGCCTGTGTCAGTGTAGCTTGTGTCTGTGCGGTTTGCCACTTAACTGGTGTGCCTTCTCTGCTTTCTGCTCTTCTCCACCCCCTGCTGATGTGCCCAGGTGTCTCCCTTCTTTGCAGGACTAGTCAGTGTCTCTGGTCAGTTTCACCATTCTCCCCCCTCCTTTTTTTCTTGCCTGTCATTCTGTACTAGAGCTATGCCAGTTTGCAAGAAACAAATAATATTAACTGAAAACAACACCGCAGCAGCTAGTGCACGGGTGGGCGGGCGCAGGATATTGCTAAAATGCAGCAATTCTGAAAGCCTGCATAGCCTCCTTGACTGATAGACAACGCAGCTTAAAAAGGGATGCAGAGTTTTCCCAAGAGGATGCACACACAAACTCCAGAACGACGTGACTGCCACAGTGACCTGAAACCAAATTTAAAAACTTTGTTCATCACCCAATTAGTTTCAATATTATAACAGTGCACCTAGTGAGAAATTGAATTGTGAGAGGGCCAGAGTATTTTGGGCGCTCTGAAAATATGCCCCTTTGCTGTTGTGTAGGCAGGAGAGATGAGTTGGACCTGACCAGTGGATTGAGGCCTGTGGCAGCAAACTCAATCAGGTTGAAGGCCAGATTCCAATTTCTTGCTGGACACCCCCCAACCCCTCTTTTAAAAAGCCACAAAAATTATGAAGCCACTCCTGGCCACTTTCTGCTCTTATCTGCAGTTATTTTTTTAGACTACAACACCTTGTTGAAACATATGGAGTGGTTGACTACTGTTTGCGGCACTTATTTTTATATAAAAGGTGCTTTTT